TTGTTACTCCAGTGGTTATTGCATCCTTTCTGATATTCTTGTTCGTTTCAATTTGGATAATGAAACGACAGAAGAAAGGGAAGTCCAAAGAGGTGGAGAAGATACCGGAGATGGGGACTCATCAATTAGTTTCCTATCACGAGATTCAACGAGCAACAAATAATTTTGATGAATCCAATTTAATTGGTGAGGGCAGCTCTGGCACTGTGTACAAAGGCACATTGTTTGGTGGAACTGCAGTGGCCATTAAGGTTCTGGATTTGGAAAATGAGCAAGTATGCAAGAGGTTTGATACCGAATGTGAAGTGATGAGAAATGTTAGACACAGAAATCTTGTTCAAGTGATTACTGCATGTTCTAGTGACTATATAAGAGCCTTTATTCTGCAATTTATGCCCAATGGAAAGTCTTGAGAATTGTCTGTACAAAGAAGATCGCCACTTGAACCTTCATCAAAGAGTTTCTGTAATGCTTGATGCAGCTATGGCAGTTGAATATCTACATCATGGTCATGTCACTCCAATAGTTCATTGCGACTTAAAGCCAGCCAACGTTCTTTTGGATGAAGATAATGGTGGCTCATGTTGGTGATTTTGGCATCTCTAAAATTTTAGCCATAAGCAAGTCCATAGCTTATACCGAAACATTGGGCACTCTTGGATACATTGCACCAGGTATAAAAAATAATCTCTCTTTGATTTTCTCTTATCATAGTTAAGCATTCTAAAAGTAAAAAAAGCAAGTCTTCATTTATGCAGAATTATTGTTGTATTTCAATTGAGTAACTTTTCTTCAATCCTTTTCTAAGAATATGGCTCAGAGGGAATAGTGTCTTCTAGTGGTGATGTTTATAGCTATGGCATCATGTTGATGGAAGTCTTGACCAAAAGAAGGCCAACAGATGAAGAGATATGCAATGAAAATCTTGACCTGAGGAAATGGATAATACAATCATTTTCAGGGAGTATGATGGACGTTGTCGATGCCAATCTTTTTTACGAGGAAGAACAAATCACTAGTAAAAGTGAAATCTGCATAGCGTCCATGATAGAATTGGGTTTAGATTGCACAAAGGAAATGCCAGAATCAAGAGTGACCATGAAAGATGTAGTGAAGAGACTTAACAAAATCAAAAACGCATTTCTGGAAACATAGAAGTGATCAGCATCTGTTCGGATGGTGTTCTTTCATGAGCTGCAAATTAATATGATGCTTTTTGTTTACCTAATTTCTTAGTCGTTCGTACTTCCTGGAGAGTGTTGCATTTCCCTCATTTTGTGATTTTAGATTTGAGTAGTCTTTAATATGTTTTGAATGCTTGAATAAAATTAAGAAATATTTTGAGATATAGGATCATAACAC